TAGCTAGCACACTGAATATGAGAAATATGCTAAATTCACACATATAACAAATGCTTCTTTGCCCCTACAATCTTATTTTAAAAAATCACTTCAACGATGGTCCATCTATTATTTCTTCATTCATAACATGAAAAGGGGTAGATTTAAAAAAATGCAAGGATGGTTCATACACTCACATAGCTTTTACTAGAAGAAAATCAGAGTTAAAAGCTGAGCACTTCATCTCTCAGTCCAATGCATGGTCTACTTACTTTGCTATAGTCCTATTTTCTTTTATGCCTCTGGTACTAATCATCCATTGGAAATATCTCTTCTGAACTGCTATTATTTCAATGCTTTTAATTGTGTCTCAATATTGTAGGAAAGTCTAGGTCAAAGAGATTTGTTGTCTGGCAGTTGAAAGGTGATGTACTACTGGTATCTGTTTAAATACAGCACGGAAAGGTGGGCTTGTTTAAGGACTGACTTTACAATATAAATTTCTTACTTTGGTTTATAATTATATTCTCCAAAACTGTAGTAACAATCATCACTGTGATCCCATTTTATATGAAGTATCCATGTATTTTGCCTTGAATCATGAATATGTGCAGGCATCTACACTTAGAGAATCCATTGAATTTCAGTTACCTTGGCTATGAAACTGTGAAGAAAACAACCTGGGGGAAATTATTTGAAAATTTAAATCTTTGAACAGTTCTTCCATTCAAATTCTTTTAACTGATCTGTATTTTTGAGCCAATTCCATCGCTATGTAGGGGATTTGGCCATATTTGGTTTTTGCTAGGTTATAGGTATTTTTATCTAAGTTTCTTTTAAGGCTCATGATTCCTCTAATATGCTCTCAAGTAGAAGACATTAAAACATAAAATGTCATGTTTTCTTCAGGCCTTTTGTCATGTGATCTCTAGAAAAATACTGGGCATCATCCAAGTATGCTTAATGACATGTGAGTGCCATATCAAATCATTGAATTCTGGTATTAGAGCATATAATTCCATTTTAATTTTTCTTGATTTAGATAGATAATACCTGATAGATAAATGATAGTTGATGAGATAGATGATAGATAGGTGATAGATTGATTAATATATGGTATATATTATCCCATTTATCTATCTATCTATCTATCTATCTATCTATCTAAAATAGATGATAGACAAATAGGTAAGTAGATAGATAGATAGATAGATAGATAGATAGATAGATAGATAGATAGATAGATAGATAGATAGATGGATGTTAAATGGGAATCTCATTAAGGAAGACCTGGAAGGAAAATATTTTCCAAACACACAAGCAAAATAAGATTCATTAGCAGTATTTCAAGATCTCAACAAGAGCACTGAGAAATGATAATATTTCCACTTCCCCTTGGTCCTGAGCCTATACAAGTCTTAATGTCAAGTCATTATTTATTAGTCAAACACAGTGAGATAGTCTTACCAAAGAGCTTTGCTAAGATTCATTTGTAGAAATGTTTTCTCTTAAGACTCTGTGCTTGGGATTATTAGGAAGAGTGACTGACAGAATTCTCACGATATTCCTGATACCCATGACAGGTCTGTTTTGGCCAAGAACTTTACTCTGAATTTATGCTGGACGACAAGAAGTATGGTATAATGAAAGCCACAGAAATGAATGAAACAATTATTTAAATATTGGCATTTTATATTTTAATATCTTTTGAGATTTGTAAACTTCTTAACAATAGATCTGAGCTCAAAACTTCATGTGTAATTTTGGCCTAAAACTCAGCATGAAACCATTGTATGGTTTTGAAAGTATTCCTAAAGATCTTTGGAAAACAAACAGGTCAATAAAGCTGATTCTATTTACTTGAAACATAGTGTCTTAGAGTCATTAAGAAAGAAAAAAAAAACAAAGAAAGTATTCATTCTCCTGTTGTAATTGCTCTATGCTGCTCAGGAACCGAGTGGCAGGCTGTTTCACTTGACTATGCTTCTTCCCTCTTCTCTGACATCAACCATTCTTCACATCCAGTAGTTACTTGTTTCTGCTCTCCTTCATAAGCATGATTCTGGTTTGCAACTTCTGCTTCCCTCCCCTCTCCCCCCCTTCCCTCCCCTTCCATTCAATTCTTTTCCCCTTCTCTTTTTTCCCCTTTATCTATCTCTCTTCTCTCTTTTCCATTTGGAGGTTAAAAGAAAATGACAGAGATTACCAGTCAGAAACTCTTTACGGATACATATATGATTAGAGAATACAGTGAGGAAGTCATTTCAAACTCCTATGATGCAGGGACTTGAGGTCAGATTTTATGTTTTGGAATATAAAGTGCATACTAGCAAATCTTATAGGCAAGTGGCTGTTATAAAATAAAGTATCTGAAGGTTATGAACTGATATTATGAGTATGTTGCAGGCCAAGGATGAATAAAAGATAATAAAAGTTTTAAAACTTTTAGAATTTAAAAATTTTAGAATGTAGTGATAGTCATTCATGTAAATTGTTTCCCGTTTTTATCTAATCTTTACCTGGCACAGGCAAATTATGCATGGTTATAGATGTACCTAAACTTAACTATATTTCATGTTTTACTCATTTGGCACAATAATCTTTATAAATAAGATTTTACTTTAAAAATTGTTGATTATATAACTGGCCATCTATTAACCTTCAATCTTAAAACAACAGAGAAAAAATAGTACCTATATTCTGTAAATTTTCATTTCACTTCTTCAGACCACTTCATCATAAATGATGATGCAAATCACTTGATACTAAAAAAAAATGTTAGTCCAATTTCCTTAAACTAGTTACCTTGTGGAAATTCCATAACAGAAACTTCGTTTTCTTCATATACAAGAAACAGACAGTAGTGACATAGATTTGTAAGATAGTGCCCCAGGTTGGCAAATTATGCCAAAGCGTAGACGAATTAGTTAGCATTTCCTAAACGAACATGCATCTCAAGGATGAAAGTAAAATGGAAAAGCAGAAAGAACTTTGACACTGCAGGCCACTCAGTTACATAAGATAATTACTATAGATCATATATTTAATAGTCACTATGCAATAAGATTTGAACCTTTGAAATAATAAAAGGTCAACTGAATGAATTAAAAACAATACCCAATAGGAATATCGATCATATGATGAATAATTATTAGAAAACAAATAAGTTTCAAATTTTTTCTATTGCACAGTTTCAGTAGGATTTAACAGCACAAAAATGGATAATAAATAATAAAACACAATTTTTCCAACTTTTATACTTGGTAGGAAATAATTTAGACTGCAAATTTTCCTAAGGCTCTAATATCTACTATCTTTTTTTTCACCTCTGCAGAATAAGATATGTATATTTTATTGTATCAAATGAAATCTAAGTGTGAGATATCGAAGAGAAGAATTAAAAGAGACACCACATAATATAAGCTTTAGTTTTTATAAATATATGGTATTGATTTTCCTTTTGTGATTTTTCATTGAAGAATGGTTACAACATTACTATAAAATGTTACTAACTGAAGGAACCCTAAGTTCAACAGAATAAACATGCATGAAAATATCATAGTGAAATCATTATATAATTAAGTTTTTGTTATTATAGCAAATAATGAGATGTTTTAAAATAAAAAAAAAACATAGTTAAAAATATATGGAGAAAAAGTCTGTGATACAGGCATAGGTACATGTGAGGGTGGATATTAGAAGATGCAGAGCCAAAGATGTAAGAGGAAAATGGGTAACACAGCCAAGGCCCATTGCTGGGCATTTACTTTTCTTCAGCTACAGCTTGTTAGAAGTGAGATCTACATCCACAATTCTATGATATATTTTGTTACAAGCTACGAAAAATTTAAAACTGCTTAAAGGCTAAACCAACGATCCTTCTCAGATGAAGAAACCTATTGGTTGTTTTAAAATCAAGGAAATATTTGCTCAGACAAGAAAAAGTGAAATGATGGTCTCAGACTCTATTTCCTCCTCTGCTTGGTTTTGTTGATTGAGATGAACCTCATGGTAATGAATTTTTCCTGAAGTCTTGAGTACCCACAAGTGAATTGCTGAAGGAGACAGGCTAGGCTAGCACTTGATCCTCCGAAGACTTTACTGCTGCAGCAGTAGGGTGATGTTCTCAATGTCCAGTGACAGCATTAGAAATGAAAGCATGTGTTAGGAGCTCTTACGAGACTGGGTTGTCATTTCTCAGAGCGCAACTGAAAATTATTTAACACTCTTTCCCATTTTGACCCCTAAACAAATCGTTTCCTTTCAGCCAGCGATCTGTTCTTGTTTCTTGGTTGGCAACTGTATTTCTTTGAAAATATCTCTGCTGAGTTGTCACAAAACTGCAGCAAATATGGTTCATCAGTTTCTGTATAGGCATTCAGAGTCCACTCTAATAAAAATTACATTCAATGTGGGAGAAATAAAAGCATACTATATTAACTTTTTCCATGCCACAATATGTTCTCCTCATCATCAAAACTAAAAATGCTTCCATTACTTGTCATGGTTTACCCAGGGAGTAGTTTGGATAATTCAGGTATGATTTAGTAACAGAAAGCAATCATTTATGAAGCATACACTTGAGGCAAGAGTCCATAAAGCCTGCTAAACACTCCTCTATTGCTCCCAAGGGTAGACAATGCACCTGGGAGATCTGTCTAACTATGTAAAAATATTTAACCTTCAGGCATATGGCTGTACTAACATTTTGCTTAATAAAATGTGAAGTGGTTCCAAACCACTTAGACAAAGTGTATCATTCTTAAAGAGTCGTGAAGAAGCAGCTGAGATCTCCTGAAAGTCAGCCTCCCAAGGTGGCATATTTAGGATCATTACCTCATTGAAAGTACTAACTGTGAAATTTCATGTGTAAGCAGTCAATTACCTGAACCACATAGTGGACAAGTTTTAGAAATGGCTAATCAAAACCAATGAATTTCCCATTTGGGTGTGAGCATATGAGTTAGCTCTAATAGCGGCTGTTGATAGACACTCACTGGCACAATTTCCTGCTTCATCAGAACGTGTAACTGAGGTGAAGACTGACATCTTCGTCACCAGTTTTGGGCCAGTTTCGGACCATGATATGGTAAGTGACACTACACATTTGATTTTTTAGTTTTGTTTAGATTTTTAAAATTAAAATCTAATTACATCATTTCCCCTTCCTTGTCCTGTCTGAATTCCTTCTAAAAGACCCTCTTCCTCTTTTCTTTGATTGTTATTGCTATATATGTCTAACAATATAATACAGTGCTCAGGTCACATAGCGTTACGTGTGTGTGTGTGTGTGTGTGTGTGTGAGAGAGAGAGAGAGAGAGAGAGAGANAAGAGACTTTGGGGCTGAATGCCTGGTACTGGATAACTGCAGTGGTATATTATTTGTATTTCGATGACATATTCCTAGAGAAGACTAATTCTCCTCTTCTCAGTCTTCCTTAGTTGCCTTTAGTTCTTTGTCTTTTGGTAGAGCCCTGTGAGGTTTTCCCTCTTTCATGTAAGGAAGGCTGCTGGTGTTGTAGCTCAGGTCTTGTTCAGAGGCATTGTTGGATCCTGAGGGAAGCTTACTTACCTGACATTTTTAGTATTTTTTAAATTGATGTTTTAAAAAGAAGGTATAGACTATTTAAGAACTTACTTGAAAAGCCTTGTTTGGTTACAATTTTGTGTCTTTGTGTATATTATAACAAATACATGTGTATATACTGACAATATATATTTCATAACACACACACATGCACACACACACAATTGTTTCTGTATTTATTTGTCAACCATTATAGCATTCTCCCTTTCATTTCTAAAATGACTGTTGTGCTTAGCTTCTGAGCACAAGACTCAATGCGCCTCGTGCCTTTCACTTCAGTTGTGAGAACACGGTGATCCAGGGATGTCAAGTGTATAAATAAACACTGCTGTTCCAGAACAAGCAGCCATTTGTACCACCATGTTTGAATCCTTTTCGGCTATATATGGAGAATGAACATCAAAGTTGAGAGAATACTTGACTCTAATTAAAAGCAAAAAAATACTGAAAAGGAGAAATGCAGGACAGAGAAATGTTCGTTGTTGCAAAATGTACATCACATTATTTCGGAACTGTGTGTGTCTGACCTTTCTTTTTTATGGAAAAATCTTAGAAAATTTAAGAGTTCCATCAATATAACTGAAACATTGTAAAGATGTCATGAAATCATACCATTATGAATATTTCAAATATGTCTTATTATTTTAAGATGTCCTTTATTAGTTCTTAATGTTTTGGATTTCTTAGTACCTCAGGGAGAAATCAAATAAAAGTTAAAGATTTTTCCTGGTTTAAAAGGAAACTCAAATTATTTTTTCTTGTATTCCATATTATACATACTTAATCTTGACATTCTCTTTCAGCCATTCAGAGGCTTCATCACCTTCATATACTGGCTGTGCTTGTCCTTGTTACTATAAGGTGATACAGTCTGTGAGTTCGCAAACCTGTCTCTAGGAGTAAATAAGGCTGCATTAAAGTCTCACCACCATCCAATTAAAGCACAATATAATACAATCGAATTCATATGATACAGAATATTCGGTATTCTGGGCAAAATTTTAAAAACCAAAGGCTCAAAATCTTTCAGATGTCTGTGTTACTATAGGTACCCATTCATGTAAGATTACAAATGACTTAAATCACACCCCCACCCCACCCCCATGCTCCCTTCAAGGGAATTTTCTCATTTCTAAACTCCTCTGAACTCTGTGTTTACACAGGGACCAAATTGAGAAAGAAAAGCTTGCCATTTATCGTTGAAACAATAGCAAACTAATTCCTCTTACTTGTATTTCAATCAAATTCCTTGACATAAAATTTAACACTGCTTTTAGTTGCATGCACAGTACTACTTGGTGAAATCATTTTTTTATTGCAAATCAATGTCTTACATTCTTAAAGTGGAATCAGAAGTTGCAAAGACAAACATGTCTTATTGACATCACAGTGTGAGTGCATCACTGGTTTAAAGGGAGTAATGGGTTACTAGTTGCTTATTGATAGAACTAGAAGCCCTGGCTGGGCAGTGGTGGTGGTGAATACCTTTAATCTTAGAAATTGGAGGAAGAGAAAGGTGGATCTCTGAGCTTGAGGACAGGCTGGTTTATAAGAGCTAGTCCTGGAAAAGCTCCAAAGCTTCAGTGAAACGCTGTCTCGAAAAACCAAAACAACAACAACAACAAAAATACAAACAAACTAAAAATCCAATTCTTGTGAAAAAAGTGAATTCTTGTGGGCCATTGTAAACGAAACTAAACCAAACCCTCTTCCTTGAGTTCTGAATATTTTGATAAGGAAGACAATGGAATAAAGGTCATGGAATTAGAATAATATATTGTTTATTTTTATATTTATTTTAAACTTATTTTTTTTACAATAATTCTGCCTTTGTCTCTTGCATCTGACAGAGTGCCTCATGTTGTTAAGGGACAACACTCAAAGGAAGCCAGAAGTGAAACATAAAATTCCTTTAATATATTTAGCAAACTTTAATTATTTTTCATTTTAAAAATCTATTTATATTTATTCTTCTAAGAATGTTATACATATATACAATGAGTTTTATCCTGTTTTTCCTCTACCTACCACCACAATCACCCAAGAGAATCTCCTTTCCAACTTAATGGATTCTTATTTTGAGCCCACTGTGTCCTATCTGTACTGCCAATATTTATGGTTTTAGGACCATCTACTAGAGCTTGGGAAACCAAGCAGGGACCACATTTCAAATGAAAACCTGACTCTCCCTTTTTTTAGCAGTCACCAGTTGCCAATAACTCATTGGTGATGGGTGGAGCTTCCTCCTCCATCCATGCTGGATGTTGAATGACTTGACTATGCTTTTGAGTTATTGATTCAATTTCACAGGAATTCAAGGGACTAATGACGCTGTAGTTTTGCCTTAAAATAAAGATACATTATAGGATGATTTTACTTGTCTGTAGCCCTATAGCAGTCACAATTGCATTTCACATATAAGTTTCAGAAAAAAAATTATAAAAGAGCTGAGTAACTGTGGAACATGCCTTTAATTCCAGAAGTTGGGAGGCATAGGCAGGCCAATCTCTGTGAATCTGAGATCAGCCTGGTCTACAGAGTGAGTTCCAAGACTGCTAAGGCTACACAGAGAAACCCTGTCTTCAAACAGCAACAACAAAACTCAAACATTCAAAAAGGAAAACAGAGGGTGTACAGAAGCTGATCTTTCTCATTGTCTATAATTTCTGAGACAGCATTCGAGTTGTTTTGTGATGATCTAATTAGGCTTTACAACTGAATTGCAAAGTGGGTCCTGGATCTTGTACCTCTTCTCTTGCTAAGAAAATTATTTAAATTATATTATGGGAGATTAAGTATAAAAAGGAGTTTTATTTAGAGGCAGTCAAATTTTAAAGACAGGATGATAAAGTTCCTTTTTACAAACAGGAATAGCTTTCTCTATATTTTAAGCAGGAACTAATAAAATATCTTATTAATAGTAACCATAGTTGAACTTGTCATTACTGAGTGTTTTCAAGGTCCTAATACATTCTAAATGTTATTTAAATGTTATTCTATCTACTCCCCATTTCAAACCTTTCAGCTCAAGAATATTCTTATCTGCATGCTCTAAGGAAAGAAAAGTGACCCACTAGCTAAGGGTACCAATTGAAACCTCAGCAGACTGTCCCTGAAGATTGCTTAGCTCCCAAGGCATCCAGATTCATCTAGAAAAAAAAATGAGGTCAACTCCTTAAGCTTATTTTAAAAACCATTAATTGGCCACAAGCAGCACACTCCCAGGGCACTAGGCTCTGACAGAAATATCCAGGCTGCACAATCCCACAGCCTTGCTTCCTGTGCTGCTTAAAATGTATCAAGTCAAGGCACACACAGATGTCAATAAATAGCATGAACCGGAACACTTCAATACGATATTTATTTAGGTACAAAGTGGATGTTTTGTCCCAGATCTTGAGAAATAAGATTCATATTCTCTGGGGACCTACTCTATAAACCAGACAAACTTGGGGAAGATTTTCTCTTGTAAGGTGGGAGCCTTAATTGTGAAACTTCAGTAACACCTTCAGGAAAACTTGGCATTTGTTCAGTCTCTTCTACTTAGTTCCATCTTTTGTAGTCTGCTTTTGTTTATCTTGGTTATGACAGCTTTTTTTTTTACCTTCTTCAAATTCCCATCACGTAACTTTTACTAAGTCACTTTTCCCAAATAGCCTTTTTCTTGATCCCAAGCTAAAAAAAAAATTCTAGCCTAAAAAATTGTGTTGATAATATTGGAAGGCAAATGATAAGTACTGATTTTATACCCATAGTCACTATCACTATGGATCTTCCCTAAATTTTGTTTCATCTTTCTGAAAGGGGAAACATGGTTCATATTGTTCCAAATGGCCAATCTTGATCTAACAAATTGGGGTCATGGGGGCTAGTTCGTGATGTGTAAGGGCATCCTAGAAGTTGCTTGGTGCTATCATTTCAATCATATAATCAGGTTTAGAAAACATAGGGCAGAGAGTGCTTCTGTTTAAAATTATGTGCGATATGATCACAATCAACTGCTTTTGTTTAGCTTTTATTTCTCCTCAAACAAAGAAAAGGAGGGAATATATTTTACCCTTAGTGTTGCTGTGTGTGTGTGTGTGTGTGTGTGTGTGTGTTATTTTTGAAGAATTGTCTCAAACAAAATTGGGAAAGGTGATTTCATTGTCCTCCTTTAGCACAGATAAATAAAGCTGAATGGAAAAATAATAAAAACACAAATGTTAGGACATGGACAATTTTGACATAATTTTTGGAGCCATTTCTCTTGGGCAATGGCTTGTTGAAAATTATTTTACATTTAACACTTACTATGCTTTCAAAAGCTAACCAAACCCAAACAAACAGAATCTTCCTTAGAGCTGGCAAATGAATTGTGCTATGATTCCTGAGAACATAATCTGTTTAGGTTTGCGTGGGATCTCGATTTACCTGTAGATATTCTCTGTAGTATGAACCAGTCTAAAGTTATTCCATTGTATTGAGAACAGTTGGCTGTAGCTAGATAAAGAAGAACAGAAAGGTCATTGGATATCATATCGACAAGGAGACATACGCACAAGACTATATATATTATGAGTGATGCGCACTGTTCTTCTGTAATATTGCCTCATCATCTAATGTACAATCCGTGTCCTCCATGAGTTCTTCCAATAAAACTCAAGTCTTAATAATTTCTCCCTTTGCTGAGTTTAATGGATGCTTAAAAGATGTTTGCAGCAAATAAGATCCTATCATGTATCCCAGTGATTTCCACCTGACACTCTGACACAGAAAAGCCAAACAACAAACATGGTATCTTGTCTGGCCTGTATCATTTTGCTCACTTCCTTATTTATAAGTCAGTCACCCCAATTAGCCATGGTGCATTAGAAGACATCCACTAATGATGTAACGTCATGGATCAGTGATGACTGAGCAATATCAAACCTCTGCCAGAAGGGCGAGCATACATTCAGACTTCACTTTGCATTGTTTAAATGCTAGGAAAGAGGCAGGTACTTAAAAACATGCACAGAATGCCTAGAGACAGAAATTATTTGTTTTGTATTCCTAAGGATGACATGCACAGGATTCAAAAGCAGCTGCTTTCAGAAGCATCAAGCTTCACAGGATTAGGAAAATGTGGCATAATGTTTTCTAGTTAGCCACCCCCCCTTTCTGGTTTTGAGTATGCTAAGATTAATGGAGATGTGGCAATCTTTATTTCGAACCATTGAGTCCTAAATTTAGTGCCAATGTAGCAAGTACTGCAAGGAACATGAACACTATCCTTTTCAATTTCAGGAGTAGGTAAGTCACATTGCTTGTTTTTAGATGAACAGATGTTCATCTCTGGGTAATGCCATAAGGAATGCTCTGCTTATTCAAATAAATAGACTCCCTCGCTGTGAATGACGATGAGGTTTGCACATCTTTCCTGTGATATGCACACACGCGTGATCACTAACACCCACACACCTCCTCTCTTTGCATTCTTCTCTCTCACCCCTCTCTATGGGGAAAGAAGTTTGAATTACTTGTGAAATTTGACTAACTTATTCCAAATTTTAATAGTTTTTTTCACTATATAGTAGAATTGGGGAGCTACATACACTATTTACTATTTTTGCAAAAAAGAAAAAAAAAACAAGAAGTCATTTCCTTAGCCAAAGGATTTTTACATCTATATCAACACCATGATTGGCTTGATTCTGATGATGAGGTTTGCAGGGAACACAAAGGAACTATAAATATTATGTTTTCTTCTTACTGCTGAAATCCATTAATTTAAATATTCTCCTTTACATACAACCTACAAGTATGCGTTTATATTTCAAAGTGCAATTTATCAATTTTATTTTACTATTGGTGACAAAGGTAATTTATGCTGTACTTTCAGGTATCTAAGGAGAAAATTGAGAACATTTTTCCCATAAATTTTCAGACGTGTATATGTATGCAATACATATATCCATATATTAAAATTTTTTTTGCAAAAGTCTGCACTAATTCCTCTAACACTAACATGTAAGTGCCACTCCACATTTGCTTCTGAGAATGTCACCTCAGCCACACTGAGTTTCCAAAATCGTATTTGTAAGTTATTTTTATGGGAAAACGTAAGACTGAACTCTGCTCTTTCCCAAAATTATCCAGGAATATACAATAGATGTGTTTTTTCGTCAAAGCTGGAAGGACGAAAGATTAAAATTCAAAGGGCCCATGACAGTTCTTCGGTTAAACAACCTCATGGCCAGTAAAATCTGGACTCCAGATACGTTTTTCCACAATGGCAAGAAGTCTGTGGCCCACAACATGACCATGCCTAACAAACTCTTGCGCATCACGGAGGACGGCACGCTGTTGTACACCATGAGGTAAGGACGGCTGAGGTTCCTGCGGGAAAACGTCTGTATTTCCTGTTCTGCTCCAAGAAGTAAATCCTCAGGGTGCTGATTGGTGCTTGGCTTTTGGGTTTTCTGTACTTTTTAAGCATTAAATTTGTTCTGCTAAGCAATCATAATGCTCTGAAATATCATGCATGCCTGCAATGTTAAATAAAATGTAAATGAAGTCTAGATTAAGTAATACAACGTTGCAGAGGCTGTATTTGCTTTAATTCAACATGAGGACCTTTTAGTCCCTGTTATGAAATTCATATCTCCCTGCATTGTGATAAGATCTAGGTGAAATCTCTAGAGGCTGTCTAATGGTAGATATCCAAAACCATTTCTGCAAAAATAGAAGACAAAATTAAAAGTATGACTGTATAAAGTTCTTTTAAAAATTCACATGGAATTATGTATGTGAAGAAATACATAATTTCTCAAATAGTATCCTTAGCTAGGGATAGTTAATTTGGCTTAACGTGAAGACTGTGTGTGTACATATGTGGGTATGCTATAAAAAATTTTCCTCCTTTGAAACTGACTGAAAAGCATGTCATAAGTACACAGCATCTTAGAGATAAAATGAAGGAAGCATGAATCACAAAAACAAAATTATTAAATAATTTTTATAGAAAGACAGTTTTATATATTAACTTACAAATTTTGAATGGTCTATGATTTGTTCTTTGATTTTTTTTTAATGAAAAACATTTTTTTAATTGAAAGTTGGTTGCTCGGTATGACTATTGATTGGAATGGTAAGTGTTTCCTACGTTTGGTTATTTTTTTAGCTAAAATTTGGCCTCACTGCCTTCTGTCCCTAAGTCATGGTATACTTGCCCAACCATTTCTTTACACTGAGATAGCCAATATAACACTGTCTGCCTCCGATTTCATCTAGAAATTGCACAAATAATTGAGAACAAAGGTTTCCTTTTCATATAAAATTCTGAACTTTCATATAAAACACCTGAGATAACAAGATGAGCACTACCACTTCTAACCCGTGTTTTCTTTTACTGCTTTTTTTTAAACTAAACACAAAATCACGTTAGCAGGGCTGCGTAATCCATCTCAAATATCTAATTGTCCAAAGCCTTCTGAAGAAGTTACCAAGAGCTTCCCTCTCCAAAATTCATAATAAAAATGCTTTCATTGGAATATGTGTATTTCACATGGTAGACATGAATTTGCAATTTATTTCACACCTGCAATCCCTCTTGACATCCTATCCTTATGAACTTTCCACTCTGGTCAAGTATTTCTGTGTCCCCGGGTGAGCTATAATTTCGTGTGTGCTACTTCATAACATCCCTCTCATTTCAAACTGCATGCTTGTTTGTAAGCTGCTGCAACTTCATCTATGCTAATCACAGTAGTATCAAAACTGGAGACATCTCCTTGTATGGAGCGAAGGGGAAAGAATTCCCGGCTACCACAATCTCAGCACCTGTTTCAAATTAAGGTATTTAAAAATGATTTTTTAATAATGAAGCAAATTAGCAGAAGACACTAGCTGGTGGTGTTGTTTGCTTGCTTTGTTTTATTTTGTTTTCTTCCTGGAAACATCTTTAGGACAATTATAACTTGAGGTTTTGTCTGTGTTGAATTGAAAGGTGAAAAAAAAGAAAAGCCTTTTTTTTTTTAAATTCAAAAACATAGAAGTAATTTGTTCACATTCCACCAGGGAAAGTGGCTGACTGAAGGAACGAGGGAGAGTTACTGAAGCACCAATATAGAAATTCATGCCACGTTCTGAGTTTGTGGTTTTGTTTTGAGGTGATGATACAGGAAAAGATCAGGAAAATGGGCATTGTGTATAATATGTTTCTTCATCTGATCCCAAAGAGGCATCCAATGACTGACTGACTGCATACTGTGGCCCAGAAGTCAGCTCTCAGGGAAAGCTTCATGCTGCCATCTTTATGGGGCTTATCCCCTTAGAAAAGGAGGAGGAGGAGAACAGGAAAAGGAGGAACAGGAAGAAAAAGTCTCAGCTGTGTTGTCTGTGTTTAATATAGGATTAGAATGATGGTTTGACTTTACAAGATGTTGCCAGAATATGCATGTTTTCATAAACAATTACTTAGATGAAAAAAGATAGAAAAATTAGTTTAAAAACCTCTTTAGGAATTGAATCAATCTAGTCAAAACACAATAGGATTTAAGAATATGGGGAAAATAACAACGGGAAAGAAAATAAAGGACCAATACATATGAATACGTGGAGTATGGCAGCTTTTAAGCAGGACCCAAGCATGCTGCAAACTAAAATCTGCTTTAGTTACAGACAGGCAGCTCTCAACTCATGCTTGACCCTAACCCAGTGTTTATTCCTTTCCTGTGTCAATGATGTTCAGATCCTAAATGGTTTTGCATTAATGTTTTCTGGGATTGTAAAAGTCTTTAACATAAACAAATGACACATTCCATTAACTAAATTACTTACCAGTTTCCTCGCATTACCAACTTTTAAAATAGTTGAACATGTAATACAAATATTAATATGCATTCTATAATGCCTTGATCTGTATTATAAGACCTAATTGTTTTAATTGGCTATAAAGACATTCTACCACATTTTTGAGCTACTTAATAGAAAGAATAATGCAGGACTTGCTAAAAATGTTTCAAACATTTTCGGCTATGTGGTTCAGTAGGTAAGGGAACCAAGACACACATAATGGAAGGAAAGAACGGGCTCTTGGAAGTTGTCCTTTCACATATGTACCAAGGAATATTTGCATTCATATCTATGAACACACTCAAATAATTTTTTTTCTTTTTAAATCTTATGAAGAAAATAAACACAAGTCTTCCCACACTTCTATTTATTAATACACACACATATATAGTAATATATATTTACTAATATATATTATATATACATAATATAAATATATTTATAGTTCAATGAATTTGTTTTAGCATATTTTTTAAAAACGCGAATAGAATGTCTCAATGGGGGTGGTGCATGCCTTTAAGCTTAGCAGTTGGGAGGCAGCATACCTGATCTCTATGAGTTTGAGGCCAGCCTGGTCTACAAAATGGGTTCCAGGACAGCCAAGAGCTGTTATGCAGAGAAAGCCAGTCTCAAAATCAAAACAAACAAATGAAAAAACAAAAACACGAGTAGAGTCGTCCACAATACCAGAACATCTGAGACTGATAGGACATACAGTAGAGCCCTGCCTCAACTAGGCAATGGGTTTGTAAATAGAACTGACTGTTGGAAATTCAGTCCTACTTCACAAAAATCATCAAGGAGGGTTTGCACCTTTCATGAACCAGTCTCACAAACTCCAGGAAAGTTTCTGCTTCACCTGTTCTATTTTTTTTTTGTCCCATTCGGTGGTGCAGTTTGGGGAAGGGTTCAGAGAACGATTAGGACAAGAGGACTATTCTTGGTATTGCTGATATTGTGTCCTTCACAATCAAGGATCGAGTGGCAATTATGCATGTTCTTTTATAGAAGTTTTTGCACCTTTAATTGACAGACAATAATTATAGATATTTAGGACTTCCAATATGCTTTCAATTTAGGTATACATTGTTTAATAATCAAATCAGGGAAATTACTCTATCCATTATTTGACTATGCAATTAAATATCTGATTATATCTACTTTAATTCTCTGAACACTTCCCATAGCTAGATGAATTAGTGGATGCTCTTTGTTATAAGAAACACCAGTAATGTTTTTCCCTTCTCAAAAATCCAATCTTGTTGATTTTTACAAGACAAACAGAAAATTATAGAAAACAATCGCGGTAGCTCATAAGTCTTTCTAGATCATTTGATTATTTCGAATATATCATAGGTGTACCTTTTATGTCCATGTAATCTGCTTTGGTAATATGTGTTCTATAGTTAATAACGTCAAGCTCTAATTATCAGCAAGTGTCTAATCTATAGAGCTTTTGTTTGTATTCTGTCTCCTTAATTAATAAGACTGACAGTGAGAGCCGAATGCCCAATGCACTTGGAGGATTTCCCTATGGACGCCCATGCCTGCCCACTAAAATTTGGAAGCTGTAAGTAAATTTACTTCAAATTGTCATTATTCTTCTGCAAGATCTATGAACTTAAGCAAAAGATTTACAATTAGTTATGGTCTGTTGGAGAGTCACAAATACATCAAAAAAATTCAGACAGCCCTATATTACAAGAGTTGTTTGCCTATGAGTATTAGTCCTTACTTTAATTTTTTAAAAAAGTTGTTATACTTATTTTCATGTATATATGCGTGTCTATGTACGGTGACTAATTTTACATTAGCTTACACAAGCCAGACTTATCTGAAAGAAAGGAAAGTCAGTTGAGATAAATGCCTCTGTAAGATCCAGCTGCAAGACTTTTTTTAAAATAAGTCATTAGTTGGAGTCTGTGTCTTAGTCCAATGAGGGAGGTGCCATCTCTGCTCTGGTGGGTCTGGACTGTACAAATAAGCAGACTGAGCAAGCCATAGGAAGCAACCAGTAAGCAGCACCCCTCCATGGACTCTACATCTGCTCCTGCCTCCAGAGTCCTGCCCTGTTTGAGTTTCTGCTCTCAGGGATGATACACAGAAGTGTACGCTGAAATTAACCACTTTCTCTCCATGTTGCTTTGGTCATAGTAATTCATCACAGCAATAGTAACTCTAGCTTGGACACTATGTGAATGTACATCATGCATGTGTGTGCATCTGTGGAGGCCAGAAGAGGACATCAAATCTCTAGGAGCTTTAGGTGCAAGTGGCCATGAACTGCCTGATTTCAGTGCAGGGAACCAAACTCGGGATCCTGAGAAGAGTAATGCACACTCTTCAACACTGAGCCATCTCTCCAGTTCCCGGGTTATTTTTTATTTACTAAAATAAAAACCATGAATTAAACCATCTAGTAGAAAAGCATCATCAGGTAGAATTTATGGAAAAGGGACAAGAATCTTGAATCTCATAGATACATTTTCATTCCAATAAAAGCAGATTGCTCTATTGAATTTACAGTGTCTGACAAGGTGTTTAGAAAATATTCATAGCTGGCTTGTGACAACGTGTAGGTGTTTTTCTTCAACCATGCTTTAAAGATATATCTTCAAAGGCATGTTATAGAGATATCGAGAAAATAAATGATCATGTCTGAAATTTTCTAGGTTGGTATGAGTGTCCCATGGAATTCATGAATGTATTGATGCTCTCGTTTCCATTTGATAGTATCATAGCTGTATCCCTATTGTGTCAACTTTATAGACATGCACTGTTTGAGAGCAACACCAAGGAGTACCTTTGGGGAGACAAGGAAACTTTGGGCTGCTGAACTGGACTTTCTGAGCTTCTCTCTCCCCTTCTATTTCTGACTGTAATGCATACATGGAGTGAGGATAATGTATTCCTGGCTTCCTGCAGAGAGATTTCAGACAGGGACTGAGTCAATCTTGGTTTACCTAACTAGCTTACTGTTCCCACTAGACAGGCAGACTGAGCAACTATTTTGGTAAAATATGATTCATCGAAGAAAAATAGTGAGAGTGTAGGATGATCGCAAGCAAAGAAAATAGCGAAGGGCCTTCATGTGCCTAGCAGCTCCAGTCATGGGGAGACATTGTTCTTTATTTATGGATCACATTCTATCCTGAGGACTCAAAATTAATCTCCTCCAAACCTTCCAGCTAAACCGGACTTTAGGGAAGATGGCCTTTTCCCAACCCCTTCTTATTTCAATGTACTCTTTACATTAGGATTCTGCTGTTTTCTCCTGAGTGAGTTACATTTCTAATAGTGATGCTATTATATGTTACTTGAATATCAAATAGTGCATCAAATATATGATCCTTGATAAGTTCTCCCAGTCCACAATGTAACCTTAGGAGGAAGAAGATCAAAGATCACCTACTATTTTGTTCCTAAGACAGTATTGATCCATCACCACCATCACCGTGTCATTACCAATTATTCTCAACTTCAATTAGGCTTCAAAGTGTTCTTATTTGATCAATGAATTAAAGTTTAATTTGAAATAAGACATACTCTGGTAGTGTGGTCAGCTCAAGGAAAGGGGTCATCATGCACTTTTATATGAGATATGTAAAGGTTGTTGTTGGTTGAAGTCTGTTCAGTCCCACCTCTTAACAAAGGGAATCTTTACATGAAGTTCATCACAAAATGGCATCTCAAGCACTTGCATCTGCTTTCAGGGAGATGAGGGATTGTTGGTAAAGAAAACAAAAAAAAAAAAATCAAAGCTTTTCCAAAAACCTAAGCATCATCTACCTACTTCTCAGTATAATGTAATGTGTTTTGCTTTGCTTATGTTCTCATAGAAGGTTGGGCAAAATATATTTTCATATAGACAGGTTTTCATCTGAAGAATTTGAGAGGTATTTTAAAAGAAGGGAATGGGACTTGGGGAGAAAACAAATGAGGTACCGTATGAAAAGAATAAAGTTAAAGAAAAAATGTCTAAGCAGGTTTCTCCCGGGTGTTTCTTGTGTGATGGCTCCTGCGTTGTGCTTCTCTTGGTTGCATCTCTGTGGGTGGTCTTCTCATCTTCCACATCTCAGCCTTACCAGGACCTCTTAAGTTCTTTCCCAATGGTTCTATAGTAATTTGTATATGGCCCTATCAATCTTCTTGACCTCTTTTCCCACTTATTTTATAACATTTGCTACTGTATGTATTCTTTATCATTTTTGCTTATTCATGAGCACTTTCTGTTGTACAAAGGCTACAACTTTTATAAGAGCAGGGTTGGGCTGGATTAATGGCTCAGCCATTAAAGGCTAGGCTCACAACCAAAACTATAGGAGCAGGGTATATTTTATTTAGCATTTTCTGTTGCAGAGGGTAGCACAATAGTTAGATGTTCATTGAATAAAGAAAGATTATACCAACCAGGTTTTAAGTGCCTTTTTGCTTTTCAGCATTTAAACTTGAGGTGATATATAAAAGAGGAGTGAAGAATCAAAGGAAAACACAAAAACCTGGCTATTGAGGCTGATAACAGGCACTCTAAGTTGATTCTATAGTTCTTTTCTTGATAGCAAATACACGTGTGCGTGCAGTACTAACACTAGGTTATTTCATAACCGCAACCAATGGCTTTTGTTTTACAATTTCTTACAAGGGAAAATGAACCCTTTGAAATCAAGTTCTAAATTGTTTGACTGAGCAGCTTTTGTTTCCTTATATTTAAGAATTATCCATTCACATAAACTATTCTTGTGTCTTCCTTCTATCTTCTCTACCATAAAGTACCAGTTTGCATCCTGGGAGTGCATTCTTTTTTTTTCTTATTTTTATTTTTATTGATTTTATTTTATTTTTGAACAATTTTTAAAAATTTATTTATTTATTAAAAATTTCCACCAACTCCCCTCCTACCATTTCCCTCACACTCCTCCCCTCCCCTTCCCCCTCCCTCTCCAGTCCTAAGAGAAGTCAGTATGCCCTGCCCTGTGGGTAGTTCAAGGTCCTCCTCCCTCCATCCAGGTCTAGGAAGGTATGCATCCAAACAGACCAGGATCCTAAAAAGCCAGTACATGCAGTAGAATCAAAACCCAGTGCCATTATCATTGGCTTCTCAGTCAGCCCTCATTGTCAGCCACATTCAGAGAGTCCAGTTTGATCACATGCTCGTTCAGTCCCAGTCCAGCTGGTTTTGGTGAGCTCCCATTAGATCAGTCCCACCGTCTCTGTGGGTGGACGCACCTCTCGCTGTCCTGACTTCCTTGCTCATGTTCTCCCTCCTTCTGATCTTCATCTGGACCTTGGCAGCTCAGTCCAGTGCTCCAATGTGGGTCTCTGTCTCTATCTCCATCCATTGCCAGATAAAGGTTCTATGGTGATATGCAAGATATGCATCAGTGTGGCTATGGGATAAGGCCGTTCAGGCATCCTCTCCTCTGCTGCCCAAGGACCTAGCTGGGGACATCTCCTTGGACACCTGGAACCCCTCTAGAGCCAAGACTCTTGCCAACCCTAAAATGGCTCCATTAATTAAGATATCTTCTTCCCTACTCCCATATCCACCCTTCCTCCATCTCAACCATCCCATTCCCTCAAGCTCTCTCCAATCCTCCCTTTCTCCCTTTTCTCTCCCCATTTCCCCTTCTCCTCACTCCACCCCACCTCCGTGTCCCAACTTTTGCCCTATTTAGGGAAATTTCCAGGAAAAACTCAATATAGTAAGTGATGTGAACCTTCCCTGCACTGGATAAGAGGGATGGAATGCTTTCATACACCACGGTACTTCTAAAAATATGAAGCATGAGGCGTCAAAGAGAGCACACCACTTTTCCCGCTCTAACTGTATTCGCATTCCAGAGACAACTCAAGTATAAAGTGATACCATGCCTGCACTGTTGCCAACAACTGTACAATATAGTAGCAGAAGATTTAGCTTGTTCCAAATGGCATGAGCTCTAGAATTAGCTTCCTCGACATTCGCAGAACTGGTCGACTTCCTTGGCTTATGTGCAAAGTGGACTTTTTTTCTAGAAAATAAAATATTTCAAATGAGATGGAGCAGAATGAATAGCATTTTAAGCTTTTATATCTCTTTCCCCACTAAATAGTGGCATGACTTGTAACACGTATTTGATTCTGTGCCCCAGTTTACTGTCTATAAAATGTGATAAAAGCATGTGGCCACTGAAGCTTTCCCAAGAGGTGCATTAGGACAGTTCATGCTCTAACAAATACAGTGGGTTGAATTCAGTAAGAAAACAGAAACTTGCTTTAACCAGAAAAAATATTTTCCTAAAACTTTGTATGCATGGACTGCAAGTAATGTAGATGCTTCACCAACTTGTGTGCTCTGCCCTTTTCTAAGAGAATTTTTAAAGTCTAATTTTATATCTTCCTCATTGATGAAATTATCCTACTCTGTAGAATGGTGAAACACCTTTTTCTTTTATCCATGGAAAATAAGGAAATGTTTAAAATCTGTGGGGGCAAATTATAGATTATCCTTTTGTCACTTAAATTTGTGTCGAGGTACATTAAATTATTTTCTTTCAAACTTCTGTAAGAGTTTTCTCAAGGGGTAGCTGCTATAAATAGACTTAGAAATGATGATAGGGCAGACAGGATGCCTACCTAAGATGGGGAAGCAAGATATCAACTTTCCTGCATCCCTCAGCTCTGAGAAGAGTGATGCTCCAAATTTTGCTTCAAAGTCAGTGTATGTTTTTGCAGATAACATCATTTTTATATGAAAGGCAACCATAATGCAAAAATCTTACAATACTTTAGAACATAATACTCAAGCCTGAGCTTGAATGTTGTGTTGAAAGGCCAGTGCTAAGAATTCAATGAACCCTAAGTATTTTTATCTTGTGGGGGGGGCATTGTTCCAAAACATTATTTAAATCATAGTTTATAACTGGTGGTATAAAGATGAATACATGACAGTTTAGGTTATATTGATCTTAGATCTTAAATAAATTAAAACATTTTCATAGCTCTCTAAAAGTGGTTTGGTCCCTGGGAGCATTGCCAAATGTGACTAATGGATGAGCTGGCCATTGGCCAGGGATTCAAGCTTGTATCATAAGGCCAACCTTCGTTGTCATGCCCTCCCATCAAATAATCTAAAGCAGCTTACTCTTCCTCATCTGATACTCCTTAAAATGTTAACATCATTGTGCATCTAAACAGAGGACAGCATCGCAGTCAGGTAAAGTGGGTCTTCTATGACTGGAAAACAGAAATTCTGTGAAATGTTTTCTTACCTCCTGCCACTTCTTTTCTTCCTTCTTTCTACCCTCCCCCTTCATTTCTTTCTTTCCTTCATTTCCATCCACTCATCTCTAATCTGAGTGGATTTAGGACTCACGAACCAGAACCTCATATGGGAGATGTCTTCACTAGCAGTGACTTGGCTATTGAAAATAAACAGCATCATGATTATAAATACCCACACAAATAATCAACCTGAAAAAATGCCAGTGCAGGCCTCTTGTCCAAGGACTCTACAGCGACACTTCTGTTGATAGTTCTCCATTTACTGTACACCGTGTGGTACATATGGACCTAGGGTTGTTGTTTCTAATCTCATGCTTTTTTTCTGTGGATATACTAGTCTTCTTCAACTGAGTCACACCTTTGCCTGAAATAAAGAGAAGCGAAAAACAACCACAAAGCATCTTGTCTATTGAACGAGTTCTTTCTTCTGACCTCTGTTCTGCCCACCTTCTCTTTTCTGGACTTGCAATTATAAAAGTGTTGACTAGGAGTCTCTCCAAGTCCTTTCCCATATCTAAATGTAGCCCTTCTCCCTCAATCCCCTTTTCACCCAGTACTATATGACTTTAAAAACTCTGTGGAGTTTTTTTTATTTATCTCTTTTGGCTTTCTGTGTCTCTCTTATGCCAATATAAGTCACATAAAGTCAGAGACTTTGTGTATGTCTATTATAGCAATACTAGCACAGTGCTGTATATTTTGTATGTTCTCAATGTTAGTAGTGAACAAATGACTCAAAGAAACCCTCAGAATAAATGTGTATTTATAATACCAATCAACCGAATTTGAGCTTTCATTTTTCTAGTGTGCCATCTATAACAATGAGGTTGAAAATAAGAAGCTGATGGAACAATGAGCTCGTTAGTGGAACAAAGAGACAAGATGTATAACTATGCTCTTCTTTTTTCTTTCTTTCTCAGATGCTTATACAAGAGCAGAAGTTGTCTATGAGTGGACCAGAGAGCCTGCTCGCTCAGTGGTTGTCGCCGAAGATGGGTCACGCTTAAACCAGTATGACCTTCTTGGACAAACAGTTGATTCTGGAATTGTTCAATCTAGTACAGGTAAGTTCAATTTCATTACTCTGATATTAAGGAAATGAAAAGTGTATAGCAAGAATGTAAGAGCTCTGTAACTCCCCCTTGTAACAAAAAAGTAGGAAAGGAGTGAACTCTGGGCTTACAGTGCTATACTTGCGATTTAGGTATGTCTGGATTCTTTTTATTTGCATAAAAGAGGTTGGTTCTATATGATCAGGACAGCCTGAGATATAAACAGAAACTTGAGTTATAAACTGTTACGGATGAAAGTCTGTGTTAATTTGTTATGCCTTCAGTTTTTCAACTGATTGTAGTAACTCTAGAGTATGTTGGTAATAATAGATCAAACCCATGCTGATAATTTTCTACAAGCTTTTGCACATAGTGTTGTTACATTAATGCTAGCTATTTGTGGCCTCTATATCCTACTTATTGTCATAGTCAAAGAATCATGTATAAATTTAAGCATTGATCACTATACACAGGACACCAAAAAGACTGTCCCCACAGCTGAAGCCAGTGGAGGTATACAATACTGACCATTCCATTTTGGAATTAAAGGAGATAAAATTTTATCAATTAATTCTCAGGCCAACTGTGCCCAAAGATTCTAAGGTTATTGTAAAGAGTTAAGTAATACAGGGGACCATCTTGGATTATTTGAAATCTGATAATAAAATATTGTAAGTTAAAAATGGGACATAACAAATCAGAAAACTTATGCTTCCCCTCAAATTTCTGTATTTTACATGTGTTAAATTGCTAAGTATTTGTTACGATCTAATAATTATTTTTTACACATCTCACAGAATTTGAATTTATTTAATGCGCTTTAATTTGTGGTTTCAAAAAAAAAGTGATGTCATGTACAAAAGCAGTGATGCTAATTTATCAAGAAACCACCTTGACCACCAATGACAACAACAAAACTCTTCTGTTTCAGATTTCATTCTGGGAACACTAAAAATGTTAACATTTTCATGTAAAAAAGTCAGTCACCTAATTTTTATGCAACATGTGTATTTTGCTTGTTTACAAATACCTATCACTTCATTAGGAGCTAAAATAGCTATACTTATTGTTTTATAAGATGAAGAGGATCTGCTCTCAACTCTGCTCTTATCGGAAATGCAGCAGCATGGTGGAAATCCCATGATTTCCTCTCTACTATGAGGAGGATGTGGATAGACATCCCGGTACTGTCCCCAAAACGTTAAAATGTTGAGCCAGTTCTTTTGCCAGACAGAAACTTCCCCTCGTTCTCTAGACAGAAGTTTGTGCTCCATTTAAGGGGCCAGAATGACATACTTCATTAAAGATGAGATAGTGGCTGGCAATGTAGCTAAGGGTGAGTGACTTGCATAGCATGGATAAGCACTCAGGTTCTAGCCTCATACCTAAGACAAAAACTAGAAATTAGGTTGCAGCCCTAGTATAAAACACTGAGGAATATCACACAGTAGATGCTGAAATTATTGCACAACGGCTATTGTTTCAGTCCAATTTTTTTTAATAATTTTTTTGTTTGTTTGTTTTTGTTTTACAACGTGTGTTGAAAAAGATACCCAAACAAGCTCTGTTCTTGAAAAAGAATGTTTTCATAAGTAATGTATCATGACTGACACTGGAGTTTCAATGATGGCCACAACACAGACCTTGCTCTCAGGGAAAGTGAAGTCTAGAGTGGATGAACACATAAACTACAATTATCATAATGGGTGCTAAGTGCCATGCTAATGTTTTTGTGAGGGCAGAGATCGTGTCTGTTTTCTTTATCCCTATTATTTTCTGTAGTAGCTATGGCAAAGGAGGCAATGAATAAATATTTTGAGTAAATAAGGGAAAAATATAGCTTAGGTTAATTGAGGAAAAATTACAACCCGAGGCAAGTTTTCATATTGGTAATATGTGTCTCTGTTGGGAAACTGTAGTCAATATTCCAGGTTCTATGCATTTAGTATCATATACACAGGCACATTTAATCTTTTGTGATAGTAGTTGGTGATATCGAGGAGATAATTATATTGCAGGAATTCACGTGCGAGTGTGTGAGCACGCGTGCACATACACACACATACTGGAAGACCATTTGGACAAAAAAGACTCTACTGAAGTTCTATCCTTTATCACTGTGATCATACCATTAGAGCCCACTCCAGTATGAGACACTACATCTTTAAATTAAGGGTTCTCTCAAATGACCTTTTGCTTCCTAAGGAGGCATGCCAACAAAATTACAGTTATTCAGAGTAGAAAGTATAATCAAAAAGAAAGGTTGACTGAGGCAAGGAGATAAAAGACCAACACTTGGGTCACTGAGTTGGTCAAGCCCAAAGGTTAGCCTTACTTGGAATAGGCATTCTGTAATTTGACATTGAATATACCTAAATAAAAGAGGTGATCACTGCTTATTATTAAATATTGGAGAGCAGAGGAAATGACAGCAAATTCTCAAATACATGAGCTCAGTGTGATGTCCATCTTCAACACTGCATGAAGAAACCGAATTATACATCCTTTGGGCCCACTTAAGCTCATCAACCATCCATCTCTTCACATTTCAGATGAAGGCAACAAAGGTTTCATGCAAGGTTTTCAATGCTATATTTCACACCTCATTGTGGAGCCCGGAAAACATTCAGATAGATGACACTGAGTTCAATTACCTCCCTGTTCCTGCCAGGAGACCAGAGAATGATATCTCTAAACACAAAACAGTCACTAGATAGAAAAAAAAAAATCTTTGTCCACCTTAAAATCTTTTGAGGGGCCTAGTCAATTCTAAATGGCTACTTACAATGTTAATCAGTGCTATCCTACTTATTTGTAAACACACATCTTGCAATCCCCATGACAGGCTTCAGGTTCACATACCTCTAAGTCACTTCAGTGATGTGAGAAAGAATGGTATCTGAGATTATAGGTCAGTGATTGCAGCTCATGTAAAGAAAACTGAAACCATTGCATTGCCCTTTGGGACAAGAATAACATCAATATCCAGAAAAAGATAAGAAGGTAATTTGCGCAATGTTTTTAAAATCTTCAAGGGCAACTTGACATTGTTTTGTTTTCCAAAGCCAGTTTGATCTGAGGGCTTGTTAGTAAGCTTGGAATGTAACTTGTTTCTTCTGAATTATGATATTTTATCCTTAGGGAAAATGACTAAAAAAAAAAAAAACCTGCAGGGTCACCTTTCTTAGATAAGGAAGCTTTTCTAGATTTTGTCTGAAAGATAACTTCCTAGATCAACATTATCAGGGATCATCTTATCTGACTGGATTGAAATGTGATCAGCATTCAGAGCTCCTATCTGTAATGTCTGGTCCATGGTCATCAGAGAAAAGGCTTCTGTGGTTTTCTAGTCAACTAAATGATATTTCAAATGAGAGAAAAGATCTGGTTAGGCTAAGCGTTCCATTACAGAAGCACGTTTCCTTTTATCCCCCCCGTGGAATGTGGAAAACATTCCATATGGACTCAATGTTCAATAACATTCTACAAGTTCACTGAGACTTGATTTCCCGAGTCAGAAAGAATATACAGCTACCACTCTATCTTACATTGTAAATCTGCACACTGTTCAGGATTACAAATACTGTCACAATGCTCTTAAATTTTATCCTCAGAGCATTATAGCAAATAGGCCAGCTCAACAGTGTCATATAATGTAGACAAATCAGAAAAAGGAAGGCTAGGAAAACAAACCAAGATGTTTAACAAGCATATGAGAAAGCCACCTCCAAACCAACTCCAAATACCAATTTGCCCAATTATATCCACTTCCATCGTTGTATTCTCCTTAATCTTACTTTGTAATATATCAGGGATTTTATTCCTTTTAATTTACAAGCTTCACTCAGGGTTAGATTCTCTCTGAGGATATTTAACTTATACTTCTACATTGCTAATTTGTTATACTTAGTATTACACAATTGGTGTCTAGACTTTTAATTCATATTAAGATATGGGCATTTCTTTTTTCTGTTTTTCTTTAATTTTAAAATGATTACAATTTGTTCCTGGTGTCTCTGTCACTTCTGTCGCGTATTTAAAAGTTTTGGGCCAGTGCTATTTACATTTTATTTAAATTAAGATGCTTTCAAAACAGTGGAAGCAAGCCCTCACATAATTTTCTAATCTCTCCGAAAAATACATTGTTTATAATACAATATAATGTCGAAAAGTAACTCTCCAGAATCATATCCTTTACAGACTTTTTACAAAAATGTCACAGTGTAAATAACAAAAGATGAAGGAATATATGTAGATAGATACTCATCTTCCTGACATTTTATGAAAGATGGGATATTTTGCCTTTAGGCTGATGACATTTTTCAGGCCACAGTAGAATAAATAGTTAGGGATAGTAAACAGTACTGTGGGACGGAAAAACAGCATTAGCATATCTACACAGGATAAAGTTTAACAAAGATCTCAAAAAATTGAGCTTTTATGCTATTAGGATCTCTTGCTTTTCTTCCTGTTTACCTTGAAGATATCACCAACAATTCACAGAGAGATCAAAATGAAACTACTAAAGGTTGTGTATAATATTTGAAAAAGAGATTGTAAAATGGATAACATAGTTTTAATTAATGAGTATAAAGAGCAGCTGTAAATAAAGTACAAAATGCTTAGTAAATATTCAATACGTTGAAGTTGTCATTAATACCAATTGATGAATTTAGGAATGTTATTTTTTCTGTAACTCTAAATGCATTTCTTTTGCCAACACCTCTCCCCAGTTCCGATATGGGCAAAGAATGAAAGAAATGAAGAAAGTAACTAAGATTTATTTTAGCATTCTTATATAATGTCCTGTTAGAGCAGATATTTGTTATTCAGTTATACTAGAGTTTTACTATGTTACAGACAAGAAAACTGACAGCAAGAGAGTCTACGTGTGGTGCCCACAGCTATACAAACAGAAAATAGATCTGAGTATTAAACTCGAATAAACTTATTTTCTTCCAAGGCTAATACAATTTCCCCTCAGGACAGTTCTTGCTACCCTTCTGAGGACCTGGTATTTGGGCTTTTCTCAATCGATTGATGTACAAAATGTTCAGCAATAGAAGTCAAATAGTTTGCCTAGCCAAGGTACAAAGATGTTAAGATGTATGGAAAAGCATAAGCCGGCGTTGCTTAGTTAATCTATATTGTAAAGAACCTTGAGTACAGGGAAGAGATCATCCCTTATTGTGTGTAATGCAGACCATCTCTATCCTCATTGCAGGGAAGGAAGCATCACCTGATGCTGTTGACTCGTAGTTATGTTAACAGGTCTTAGCGACACAAACACAGTGGCTTTAAAAAAAATATTCAGGAGAAGATGATAACAGAGAATTGATTTTGGTAGCAGTAGGAAACACAAAATGTTGCTAGAGTCTATCTCTCTTTTAGCAGGACTATAATTTACAAAAAAAGATGAAATGAAATCTAGAAAATATTTTCATATTGATTTTCTGGTGGTAATCTCAGACAAACTGTTGGAACAGTGTGGAATTTCCTCTGGAAAGCAGCTGCTCCTCCTTTCAACCAGAGTTTGAGGTCTTTCCTCCTCTAGTGTAAGATTATTTGGGAAATTTAAGTCTGTGATATCTATTGCTTCAGGGTCTCCATTTCAGGCAAAATCTAAAAATGAAATTAAACAATATCAGAGCACAAGATGGACTTTAAAACCACAAACAATTCTTTGATCCCAAATGCCAATTGCAAGTTTGAGAAACTTTGATATAGATAATTGTATATGTTAGCTTTCTACCGCTATTAAAATAATACCAAGGAAAATAATTAAATGGGGAAAAAGTATGCCTTGGCTCAGGAATTTTTATATTTTAGTTCACAACTGGATGGTTCCATGGTTTGGGGGCATGTTGCATAGTAGAATATATGGCACTGATGGAGGAAGGTAATTGAGCAATAAAGAAACTGCTTGGCTGGCCCTGATAGGTTAAAGCATAGGTGGGAGGAGTAAACAGAATAGAATTCTGGGAGGAAGAGGAAGTGAGGTCAGACTCTGCTCTGCTCCCAAGAGACCCGATAGCTCTGCTCTCTGGAGCAGAGACGCCATGCTCAACTCTCCCGGGTAGACTCAACAGCTCTGCCCTGGAGCAGAGACGCCATGCTCCACTCTCCCGATAGCTCTGCTCTCTGAGACACACGCGATGAAGCTCCGACCCAGGATGGACGTAGGCTAGAATCTTCCCGGTAAGAGCACCTTGGGGTGCTTACACAGATGATTAGAAATGGGCTAAATTAATATGTGAGAATTAGCCTAGAAGCGGCTAGATAAAAATGGGTAAAGCAGTGTTTAAATGAATACAGTTTGTGTGTTGTTATTTCAGGCATAAGCTAGCAGGCAGCCGGGGTGCTGGGGACGCAGCCCCGCCGCTCCTATTTCAACATGGCACCAATCCCAAGGCAAATCAAATCTGCTTAGCTCAAAATCTTGGAGTCTCAGAACAATGGTTACTGAAATTCTCAAGAGTGTTGCTAGCATAAGTTCAACTTCAAGGACCGAAGAAGCAACCAGACTCTAATGCCTGTGAGCTTGAACAGCAGCAAAATCACTGTAAGACAGAGAGAGTCATGCATATTTTCATACTCGGGCTTTCAGCTTCTGGGCCGGAACTGGGTTGTCCAACTTACATTTAAAATGGGTCTTCAGCTCTTAGCTCCCCAAGTCAATTCCCATGTTCAGAAACACTCTTTCTGACACTTCTAGAATTGTTCTATCCAATACACTCAAGTTAACTACTACGATTAACCATGTCTATGATGGTTATATATTTTAAGTAGAAAGGATATTATGGTTGCATGTGAAAGATCCCTGTACATTTGAAGGTAGGAGAAAACTGGAGTTAGATGTTACTGGTAGAACATAAGACAGCTTATTGTAATTAGTCTCTAAAAGGGATGGGAACAGTAAGCATGGAAAAGAAAAAAGAGGATGAAAGATGCTGCAGAGGTGAAATCAATTGTGATGATAGAATCCTCTCCTTCTAAACCTTTTATATGTGAGGACTAATACAATATATATTGGCAATGACTAGACAGTATGTGCTGCTCAATATTTTGAAGGAAATAAACTAGTATGTTTGTTTTTTTTTCTGGCTATGTAACCTAGGCTGGACTAGAACACTCTGTTCTTTTTGTAGGAATATCAGGTACTCAGCTATGCTAGGTGAACTGCAATGTGGATTGTAAGCATAGTTCTTAGTGGACCATGAAAAGCTATTAATTGTCTTCTTTGAATTTCTGTTAGAGGTCTTTATTTTTAAAATCAAATTATTTTCACTGCAAAATCGGCAGGCATTTTTATACTGCTAAAAAGCCAGTAAGAAGAGAGATGGAGGGTAATCTGTCATCCAAGAAAGATTAGGGGAGGGATTTGAGGAGAGAAGCATGCATCATTTACTTGAAAATAAAAAGGGAAATGATGATTTGAGACAGTACTCAGTAATTTATGAAGAAAATTATCAAAGAGTTATTAAGAGAAGTCAAACGAAAAAAATTTAAGAAAAAAGAAGTTTGTGAGAGTGTATTATCGAGAAGAGACATCCACTACTGCATCCTATGAGTAGAGTGACAGGGAGGTAAGAGACTGAAAACTGAATCATGAGATGTTCTGGAGGAGGTGTGGTCACATAATATGAACTGAAGGCAGGTCCAGGAATTGTTCTTAAGTGATGAATCAAGTATTGAGAAGCTTAGAATAGGAATATGGGGACTGGTAGGGAATTATTCTACACTGAATGATGATTTCTTATTCTGAATAAATTGATTTTCTCATGTATGCATCCACATATAGATTCTGTGTGAATCAGGCTGAAAATTTTGAAGATTTGCAATTGAATAGATGTAACATGAAGAAGAATCCACCCTTATTGTCGTTTGCGTTGTTTACCTACTGTTTCAGACTAATAAAACAGAAAGATCTTAGAGAGTGCCTAGCATTGCTTCTCAGTCCAGGCTAGGGACTAAAATAAACCCTAAGGGGGGTTACAGAGATATGGAAGCAGTGTAGCTTCCTTACATGTGCAATGTCCTAGGTTCTATCCTCAATACTGAAAAAAAAATAATAAAAGGAATAGAAAATTATTACTACCAGTATAAAATTCCTTGTAAATTCAAATTATTCTTTATATACCTGAAAGAGTGTTATGTGTTCCCAAATACTAGCAAGTGATTCTGGGAAATAAATTTGGAGAAATAATGGAGTTTACCTTGCTGTTAATTTTCTGTTTCTAACCAAATTCCATTACTAATCTAAGGCCCAAGGAAGTCTTGAAACTAAACTCCAGCTGTTCCAACTTTCACATCAAAACTTGCTCAGTTGGCATTCCCAATCTGTTTTGCAAAGTCACACATGAAGCCAAGTCTGGTTTTGTTTGTTGAACACATTTGATTGAGCACATCACTTTAAGAATTAGTCTGGAAATATAGGCTTAACTTTATCCCTTAGGTTTATGATTGAACAAAGGTAATAAGAAGGGATCCTAAGCTAAAAAGCTCTGTATTATCCTCAGAGAGAATGTTCCTTACCCTCTAGCCTATAGATGCCATGTGGACAACAAGATGTGGCTAACCTCTAGAACTTTGCTTCATTTGAAACTGCAGGAAATAACATCTTTTCAAAGGCACATTATTCAAATTCACTGTCCATTTCACCCTTTAGGAGAATATGTGGTTATGACTACTCATTTCCACCTGAAGAGGAAAATCGGCTACTTTGTTATCCAAACTTATCTGCCGTGCATAATGACAGTTATCCTCTCACAAGTCTCCTTCTGGCTCAACAGAGAGTCGGTACCAGCAAGAACTGTCTTTGGTAAGTGGAATCAATAGATGTGTGTACAGGTCTAGGGGGCAGTTAGTCAATGGTTGTGGCGCTGCAAAGAAAATGGAAAAAAAAGTCACTCTATATTCAAATTTGAACTTTGTGTTATTATAAAGTTTGAAGAATTATCATTTATGTTATGATATGATTCAAAAGCTAAAGTCTTTGCAAAGAAAGCTGTTTTGCTAATACGAAGAGAATGTCTTAATATAAATTTAATTTGATGGTTTGTCATAGAAGACAGTGAAACAGACATCCAAAGCACTTATTAGATTAAAATGTAATAACCTAAAAATTTTAAAATCATATATGGCATATGATTTTGAGAATCATTAAAAAATAGCAGCAGCCTACTTTTAAAACCAGGATTACCTTAAGTTGGGAGAGGTCATTAGTGAACAAAGAAATAGATAGTTCCTTTCACCTCTCAAGTGCATTCCAAAAGAGTTAGAAACAGACTCTTTTCTATTAGAGTCTCTAAAAAACCCTGGACATTGTATGTCAAGACAATGTAATAGGAAATTATTTGAACAGTGAACACCCTTGTATAATGTGAAAACTGACCTACTGGTACATTATTTTCGAGTTTATGTTTCATAGAAAGTAGAGTTTCCTGACTGAATCTCAGCTAACACACCATCTTGACCATACTTTTCAATCTGATGAAGACACTAATGCTACAGTAAACTTATTGATTCAGTTAGACACTGGATTTTTTTTAATGCACCAAGCTAGGGCTCTGTTCTGGAATATAAGATGAGGTCATAAATGACATGTACACTATTGCCTTAATGAAATACACGCTTGAACTTGAAGTTTTAATGATCATAAATTATGAAGAACAGTTGTTATGTGATTTCTATACTAGTCATTTTCAGTGAGATTCACCACATCATGTCATTTACACCTAAATCATCTTAGACACTGTTTTTCTGAACATCTTATTAACTTGAAACCAAATGAACACATGATTCAATTCATCTCAGGTTAGGAGCTACTAGGAGAGGTGCTGGGGAATCATGATAAAGCATTAGCTCCAGATTCATTGTCCTAAATGCTGGCCCAGAGCCATCACCTTTGTTTCATCCTGGTACATTAAGCTGGCACATAATGGGTTCACTCTGGTCCCGATCATTCATTTAGAAGTAATAACCACATGCTCTTTGGAGGAAGACATATTCATCCCTGTTCCTTCAACAAGCAACTATTATGTACCTGCTGTGTTGAAGGCTATAGGTACCACATAGAAAACCATTTACATATTTTCAAATCAGTTTATATGCTGAGGTTCTGATGTCCCTGATAGCCATGGTGTCTAAGGGATAAAATATCAGTTCTTTCAAAAAGAGAGACAGACCCTGCCCTATCTATTCAGAAGTTTCTTGTCTTCTGAATTTAGCAATGCTTGTAGCTTGATGATCTCCTAATCTGTTCCCTGGCCTTCTGACAACAGCTTACGCACACAACTAAATTCACCTGCAAAAAGATTTCCACCTGCAGAATAAAGAAGCAGTTCATTTCAGATTCATTTTTCTTTGTACCTATTTGCAGATGTTAACAACCATGCAATACACTAAGACCGACCTCTTGAGAGATTCTTGCCTCTGTATGGGCATCCCATCTCAGCCCTCATTGCACTAGGAAATAAACATTGAATTAGACACATGGTTTAGGTTTTAGGTTTCATATTATTTTATTTCAAACAAATGAAACCAGTATTACACAGAAAAGAGTTTTTTCCTACCTTTTTTTCCCCTACCTTCCTTTTCTTGTTCAAGTCATGAATGTCCTTTCTAACGGGAAATTTGCCAAAGCTTTTCAGTGCTTTATGAGTCCAAAACATTACTTATAACATTTTCAATGATCTTAAACCACAGTGACCAACGACCTTTTGGTGAACATAAGTGTATAACTGTAAACTCAGCTACAGCAAGTATTTCTGTGTGCAAAGTCATATATTTGTGGTGTTTAAGTTCAATAAAAACCACAAACACATTTTCCTAGCCCTTTAGCCCTTTAACATTTATTCAGTACATGTTTCTATTCTTTTTAACCTGAACTTAGCACATTTCTCTGAGCTCCCTGGATACCTAAACACGTCCCCAGTATATAAAGAAATACCGACAGAGAAAAAAAAATCTCACTAGAATTATAACAGTTGATACAAAGCAATCCAAAATGAGGCATGACTTGAAAATACAATCTTTTTGTCTTCCTGTGCTCTCTTTTTTGCAAGCAATGTCATGTAAATTTGCTGCTAGAAAGGATCCAAGCTTTACCTTTAATTTTGCCCATTAACAGCAATATAACATTGTCCTTTTTAATGCATATGTCTGAACTTATTTCTAGTCAAATGCAGGTACAAGGAAGGGAAAACAATCTTTAAATGTATCCATAACATAGGTAAAATATATTAATTATCAGGCGTAACTATTGGAATCTAAAAACCATTCAGGACCTTTTGACCTTTTGGTTTCTTTCCATTTTTTATATGTCAGGGACTTCAAATCATTCAAATCACACACACACACACACACACACACACACACACAAATGTACCCTTTAAACTATTCTGTACTATTCCTAGTCTACAGAGGTTTTTTTTTGGGGGGGGGTAAAATAGTTAATTTCCAGATTACTTTTGATATTTGCATTTGTAAATTGAACTTTAGAAAACTGAAGTTTATGGCAATACTGATATGTGAAATAGAACACAGACATTTTCCTTCATAGTTGTTAGTATTTCCCTTAACCCTTCGGCTAAGAATTTAATATTTTATTATATTATCTTATTTAATACTCCCAATAACACTGTGAGTTAGATTTAATAAAATCAATTAACAAGGAAGAAATTAAAAGCAACAATTCCGAAGCCTGAGATTGTAGAGAAATTGTCCCAAGGTCATTCAGCAATTATCCAGTTGGGATTTGGAATTGGGCTGCTCTGTTCCCCAATTACTGACTCTTAATTACCTTGCTATCTGCTCTAGTTAATATTGATATGTAAATCTGGGGGCAGCTTGCCAGCTAATATTCTTTAGTTTGGTTATGTAATAAGGACTTGCCCTAGAATTTTCTGAATGCTGTGCCATCCAAACTTACATTAAATACATTCCTTACAATCCTGATCGTGTGTTAAGAATATCATTTAATAGGTATTCAACTGTATTTCTTCTTAGTTATTTAATTTTCTAGTGTAGTGAAAAGACTACAAACATCCACCCTGATATTCCTGGAAAACCTAAGAATGTTTGTTGATTTAAAGCAGATTACAAACAATTTCTATCAGCCATGTAGCACATCCGATTTTCGAAAGTTATCAGCAGGAGGAATTAATCCCAGATTCAGATTCATGGATTGACAGCTCCTTCCTCAGCAATGCAATCATCTTCACGCGATTAAATGTAATTCCCACAGTAATGTTGTGAGTGACTGCGGAAAGCTTCTCCTTTCTGAGAATTTCATTGATGGCATAGACAGTAGACAGATAGAAGACGGAATTAGCCTCTTCACAGTCATAGTGACAAAGGTCTGTGAGTTTATTTACCAGAGCACTCTAAATAGTCCCTGTAGTCGCTCATGGCTGCCTAATGGTGATCTCTGACCCATTCTGGCAAGATAACTTTGAAATATTTTTAAACATTTGTAAATTTTACTAAAGGCCTCTCAAAGCATTAAATTCAGTATACGGTCCCAACACAATATGTTTCATTTGTTAGTCCAATCACCAGCAAAATATATCATAACCCACACTCTGTCTCATTGAAATATCTAAATAAATTTGGGGGACTTCTGTCAATGGGAACAGGATTTATCCCTGGTACATAAACTGACTTTTGGAGCCCATTTTCTGTGGTGGGAGACCTTGCTCAGCCTTGATGCAGGGGGAGAAGGACTTGGTCCTGCCTCAACTTGATATACCGGACATCGCTGAGTCCCATGGGAGGCCTTGCTCTATAAGGAGTAGATGAGAAGTGTGGAGGGAGGTGTGTGTGTGGGGGGGGACTGAAGGCGGAAAAAAAAGGGAAAACTGTCATTGGCTTGTAAAATAACATTTTTAAAAAAGGTACAGCCCCACCACACCCACTAGTGCCCTGTGAGGCTGCAATGAGTTGGAATCAAGATTCTAGAGACAAAAAAAATAAAGAGCAATTTAACACTTAAATCCTTAGATTTGGAATTGCAGAGTGGAGAGGATGAGGCAACATTCGAAAGAAGAAAGGTCATGGACATTTGAATCAGACTTGTGTTTAAGGATGAGTTCTGCTACCACTAAGCCACTTGATCTTAAGCAAGATATTTAATATCTATATGCAATTATGTGTATATAGTATCTTGCCCACTGCAACTTTTATGTAACTTGCTATACATTTACACATGCATGCACTGCTTCTTAGGGAATGAGCAACTCTTTTGAGCAAGAAATAGTACAGGAGCAAAGTTGCAAATACGGTAAATAATCAATTTCCCAAACTGTTACTCATCTTTCCACTATAGAGGACTAATTGAGTTTCAGGTACCTACATTTGGGACAAAGACTATTAAACAACATTATAGATATTTCTAGAATACTGCAGGCAGTAGACACTTAAGATTTTTATATCAAGGGTTGGGTGCATTGAATTATCCCCTATTCTACTCAGGATACACATACAAGATGCCTATTTAAAGACGTTCATTGCTTTATTAACAGATTCTCAATTAGCATAGTGGTTTATCTCCTCCAAACCACCCAACCTATTACTGTTCTATTGATCTTAAACTATATTGAGCCTACATCATGACTCTTCCACTGCAAATCAAAATAGATGAGTTCAAATCTGAGTATGATGCTGTTGGTGCCCTTTGATCTTAGCCTGCTGTTATGAAATTGTCTATTTACTATATTTCTCTCCTTACAGGAGTGACAACTGTTCTGACCATGACAACCCTGAGTATAAGTGCCAGAAATTCCCTCCCAAAAGTGGCTTATGCAACAGCTATGGACTGGTTTATTGCCGTGTGCTATGCCTTTGTTTTCTCAGCTCTGATTGAGTTTGCCACTGTAAACTATTTCACCAAGAGAGGGTATGCGTGGGATGGCAAAAGCGTGGTTCCAGAAAAGGTAAATACCACAGTGGCTCTTTGTTAGATCAGGATTTCGAGGCCATAAGCCTTTTGGAGGAATATGTTGGTTTGTGGAATTAGATGCAAGAGGGAAGTGAGGACTCTTTTCTTATCTTTTCAGGCTGTAAATGATGAAGTCAGGTGGATTAATATTCTGTTACTGTTCATAATGGAGATAGTTTGGTTGAATCGATGTGCAGGCACAGGATAGGAGAAAGAAGGAGAGACGATTAAAGATGAAATCTCTCTTCAAATGTGCCTTATCTGGTTTTGGAAACTGTTTTTGTTTTTTTTTTTTAAAAACCTTTTCACATTTGATGCCAAAAGTAACCCATTATTTTACTAGTCTTATATATTTTTATGATAAAAAAACATACCACGTTGGCTGTTTTCTGAGCTTAATTATTTCTATGTTTCAGTTGGGTTACATTTAAAAAATTGACATCCTTCAGTGACAGTATTCAGGCATCTGTACTGGCCCGACCTTGGGGTATACGTCCTCAGCTGTAACCACTAAGAGCACCTCCCGTGCACATTCACTACCTTCCCTTTTAAAAGGGCCCTGCCCAATCCAATGTTTCACTGTGGATCTACTCTCATCAGATGTTGGGTGAAGGTTCTATGATGACAATTAAGGTAGTCATCAAGCTGATTGCAAAGGAAGGCCAGTTCAGCCACCCACTCCACTATTTCTTAGGGTCTTAGCCAGGGGTCATCCTTGTGGATTCCTGAGTATTTCCCTGGTGCTAGATTTCTTGTTAGCTCCATAATGACTCCCTCATTCAAGACATCTCTTCTCTTGCTCTCCCTCTGTCCCTCTGCCATCTCGATCATCTCGTTCCAGCACTTGAGAGGGAGAAGCAGGTGGATCTCTATTAGTTGGAGACTAACCAAAGCTATATAGTGATACCCTATCTCAGGAAAGCAATAACAATAATAATAAAAAATACTTCAACAAAGTATAAATACACATTAACCATGATGATTAAAATACTGCTTTCCAATATACGGAATACAGAAAACATACTGAATTTATAGTTATAAGCCATCAAGGAGTTGAACTATATTATATTTTTAATTATACAAATCATCAAAATTCTATTCATATTTTTGCTTACAATACATCTCAAGTAAGTCTAGGTGAATTTCAAGTGTTCAATGTCTGCAAATAGCTAATGGCAACTGTGTTAAATCACATAACTCTGAAAAAGGACAGCTGCTTAGGAAAATCTCATGATGAAAGCCTAGGAACTAGCCTGAAATAACAACCAGTTATTTGCTGACAATCCTGAATTTGTGCCTGGCAACAACCTGGAGTATACCTTTCATGTAATCTGGGTTCATTCACACCACTGTGATGTACTGGAGGTTCGACAAAAGTTAAGAAACACTTGGCCTCTTCACATATCTGAGGCTTCAGCTGGCTCTGGCTGTCATGGGTCTTGCACTGTACCTATTCTCAAGGTATTCTCTAGTCTATCCTGGGCTTTCTTCTCCAGGAAGTATCTAGAAGGTGAAGGCTGACACTGAAAAGGTTTTGAGTCCAGTATCCTGAGCTTGGATAACATTGCTTCTATAATCCCATCTGTTTTGTATTTAACCGGTGAAGAAACAGATTCTACCTCTTGTCTAAAAGGTTACAAACATTGTCTGGCTTTTCAAATGATCACAGTTATGTTAGTCATAAATTACAGATTGTAAATTTTTAAATCAAGCAAAGATTTGGACTTTGTAGCAAGTGCTATTTTTTTGCTCAGAAACTTATAATTTTGTTTCCCACTGTTTGCTAAATAAATTACTTTTTCTTCTCCAGCCAAAGAAAGTGAAGGATCCTCTCATTAAGAAAAACAACACATATGCTCCAACAGCTACCAGCTATACCCCTAACTTGGCTAGGGGTGATCCTGGCTTGGCAACCATTGCTAAAAGTGCGACCATAGAACCAAAAGAAGTCAAGCCTGAGACAAAACCACCAGAACCCAAGAAGACTTTTAACAGCGTCAGCAAAATCGACCGACTGTCAAGAATAGCCTTCCCGCTGCTATTTGGAATCTTCAACTTAGTCTACTGGGCCACCTATTTAAACAGAGAGCCTCAGCTCAAAGCCCCCACACCGCATCAATAGGTCCTTTTAGTCGCATTCTGTTGTTCAGTCCTCTGCACCGAGAATCGCTTTCTGTTCTCAACGCAGTGATTCCTATCTGCTTAACTGCCTCTGTCTTAAAGAGTCTGAAGGTTTCCTTATTTCCATATTTTATATAAGAACAAGAGACCCCTGTCTGACAGTCCAGAGCAGAGCAGAGTTCTCAGCTTGGAGACAGGATTCTGAGAGGAAGCCAGGAAGCAAAATCATGTCAGAAGTTGATAGACATGAGAGAAAGGGATAGGGGAAGAAGGTCCAAAGATAGAATGAAAAGTAGAAGAAAAACAGAGCTTAACTATAACCACAGAGTCATTTGTAATATATATTTCCAAATATTCTCAAAAATATATATGTCAAAAATATTTTTGTGTGAAGGTGTTTAAAAAGGATACATGAACAAATGTTTAATGAACTTTAAACCTACGTCTTTATTGCACAAATGATGGTGTGTGTATGTTTATTTGTTTTATGTTTTAAGCTGATATCTAGATTTAATGTTTTGATTGTCAAATTAAAAAAAAATTCCCTAGGCTCTTTTTTAAATCTTGCTACGTAGTATTGTGTTGTTCAATGCTATTTTAGAATTTATGGAAGTCTAACAGGGTAAGATGCAGCTGTCAAAGTAGCACTCTCAATCCAATAAAAAGAACCCCTTTCAACGGGCTGCATCATTGTCATCTGAACTTTCACCAGTAGCCTATGGAGATGAGCTAGCCTAACACAGATGTTTATTTGGTAGAAGAGGAAATAAATCAATTAATTAAATAATTTTAAAACTACCCTCCCTTTAACTCTTATTCCACGATAGTCCATCCATCCAAGAATCACTCTATTCTTATGATGAAGATTTTTTTCAGAAGGGCAAAACTATTTTGCAAGCTCTAGAATTGTTGAATGTATTCTTTTATATAACTACATCAAAAGCTTTAGATTGAAATTTATGACTAGCCAACAAAAAAATAGAATATATAAATTATATATGTAAATACTCAGCATGAGATTGTACATTTAAAATTTTTTTTAAAGTTATGTTCTTAAAATATCATCGAGGAATCTCCACTTATAGCTGTTAGAATGTTGTTAAATGCTATGGAAATACATTTAGAGCCTGCATTTAAGAACAGAACAGCCTGTAGGAGACAGATGCCACTTAAAACATATTGAGAATGAAATCCAATTATATAGAGAACGCTCATAACCTCACTGTTGCCCAGTGTTCAATAAGAGAACAGTTGCTATCTGCTTGTGTTCTGTCATACCATATTTTCCCTACTTTAGGCTATTGTGAAAAAGAGAAAAAAAAATAGGGAACAGTAGTTGGAGCTAGAAAACCAGCTGTATATTATTTCTCTATTTGCTGATACCAACTATTTCAATAAGTGCTGTACCATATGTAGCATCAAAAATATAAAATACATGAAAGAATGTACAGGAACTAGCTTTTATTGAGTAATATTATTACATTTCATTTATACTGCAGCAATATATTTGTAGGTATACTATGTAAGGGCTTTAAATAAAAGAGGTCCATTAATATTCCTTATAAAAAGTCTAGCCTTTCATTACTGCCCAGATGTTTTAGAAGTAAATATTTATGAAGAAGGTATTTTTGAAGTCTCCTTTTGTCTGATAGATTTTCACAGATATTTAACTTTAGTGTTCAGAATCCACAGATCATGGTCTAATCCCATTTATAAGACCATGATGTAAAACTTTTAGTATAATTGCCAAATAAGACAATTAGAATCCATACCTGATGTTTGAGTGATGTTTTTTTCTCAAAAAGCTGCTATCCAGTGATGTTGGAAAACACATTGCTTGTGTATCCCTAAAGATGACAAATCTCTGGTTTCATTTTAAATGTGCTTCATTGTTTGATTTGGTCCTGCCTAAATTTCATGAGCTACGCCAAAAATGGCTGAACCAAGGACATTTCATGTATAGCTATGTAAAGAAAATAAAATAAATTATGGCTCTAACATCTGTGTTGCCGTTTATCTTGTTATTTTCCGACGTTAACCTGACAGGTTTAGTGAGAGCATTTTATCTTCCAGACTCTTCACGCCTAGTTTTGGGTCTGTATTTCGCTTATTAGATGTGAATATCTATTGGTCTGCTTACTGCCTTGCAATGACTGCATTGCTCTCATTTCTTAGTTTGTTAGTACATGTGAGTAATATTCTATTGTGTAAATTGATTGCAAACTTATCAAAGAGGAATTATTCTCTGTAGCTTTACAACGAGCGTGCTTTGCTAAACCATGTAATACTAGTTAAGTCTTCCTTGGAAAATAAAAATACACCCTTCTAGAGGGCAGTTCCTGTTGACTCCCAGGAATATTTTTAAAAGATGACACTGAATGTTTATGCACCTTCGTGCAATGAAGTGGCAATAAAACCCAACCTGAGTCAAGATTGCTCATGGCAGCTGCATGTCGCGCTTTACAGCGTTTAGCAAAAGCTTTTAATCTCATGTCTCACTGTATCCTATGATAATAATAAAGCTTACATTATTCAATAATAAACCGGAATATTTGATTCTGTTTATACAACATGCAAAGGGCAACGTCCATTGTCCTGTTTAACCAATTTTTGGGCTAGAAATACCAGCAAGTACCGAGTTTCAACAGCAACCTGGCCACTCAGAAGAATTTTTAAAGATATGTCAATAGTTTGATATTATTATTTGCAAAGAATTGCCTAAGAACTAGAATTATCAAATAATTGTTGTTTGTTATTTGTTTCATTGGTATTTGATGGTGAGCATTTGTGAAAGATAAAAAGACAGGATAAGATCCAATGTAGAGATAAAATTATGTTTAGTTATGATAGATGAGATAATGTGAGGTAATCTGTTCTTTGGTGATAGAATCAAAACAATGTAGATTCGGATACAACAAATGCAGTAGCCTCTTCAAACTTAAAATAAACTAGAAATACTAGCCATGTTATATAACATACATTAATAACATTGCCTGATCCAGTAACGCTGCTCATGCAAACCATATCACTATCCAGGTTCATTCATTTCTGAGCATACCTAGGAAGGAACACAGGGAATGATGATTATTTGGCTAAGAAACTGAGCCCATGTCAAGGCCCCTCATAAGTATCAAGGGAACAAGAGAAGCTTAACATCACTGTCAGCCATCTGTTAATTGAAGTGATTAGCTGAAGATCTTTAAATTTATATAACATTTTTAGCAAACCAAAACAAAAATTTGACTTCATTTTATTTCAGCAAAACAAATATCTGACTTTGATCTTTTTCAACATGATTTAGGCACAACAATTACCTTCCACTGTTGATTTTGTTCATTGCAAGACCTTGTGCTAACATTTTCCAAGGCGGTTCACTCTGTTCATCCCTTCTACTACAATAGAGATGGTGAAAGAATAAATATCCCATGTACTTTTCTTCTTTTGGCTGACAATTTACTATTGGTAATAAAATGAAGTTAATGAAAACATGAAGTTATAAATTCCTAAAAGAAATAGAATTATTGTACAGATATAAAGAATTCATACTTGGAGAATCATATGAAGACATTTTGTTAAGTAAACTTGTTACCAAGATTGGATTTTGAAAGGTAAAAGGATAAATACCACTTGCTTGCAAGAGTAGTGAAGGCTAATAAAAGAAATATATTTGTCATTTAAAAGTATCCCATTGATGAATGAACAAATAATTGTTGACTATTATTTATTCAGTCTATAAAAAGATAACTTCTATCACTTTTTGTGTGATATTGGAAAACATTATATTAAATGTAAAACACAGGGCAGAAAGACAAAAGGAACAAGATCTCACACGTCAAACTTAAGTACTATTAAATTTACACAATTGAGAACAGAATAGGAAGAATTGGGAAGATATTGTCCAAGAGATACAAATTTTAGATATATGTTACATAATACACTGACAACATTTAATAACAAAGTATTCTTTTATTGAAATTATAAAATAATTATGGCAGTTTTCCCATTCCTTTCTTCTTCCAAACTCTGTCCATATCCTTTCCAAATTTCTTTAAAACAAATGAACTCTTTTTTTCACTGATTGTTATTGTCTGCATATATATATGTATATACATATATATTCCTAAATATAGTCTGCTTAGTTGGTATAACAACAACAAGTATGTTGAAAATCTCTAATACATTATATTTTAACTATTCTTATCACAAAAATGATAAATACATATGTAAGTAAAGATAGCAAGAAGCTCAATTTTGCTATTCTACAATACATACCCTTCAAAATGTGTGTTGTAATAAAATGTATATTTTAATTATAATAATATTTAGAAATATAACTTGAAATGTTAAAACTCTAAATCAAGAAGCAAAGGGATTAAAGTTATACTAAAAAATAATTATTTAATTCCCCTAAAATAATTAAAGACGTATATCACTAAATTTGCTATTATATTATTTTGTTTTATTAAATTAAATAAAAACAAAAGAACCCAAACTGTAACATATCTAGGAAAAAGATATATGGTAAAAGTATTCATGATTTTGCTAACAACAGTCCTTGAAAACTTCCAAATACAATATATTGAAAAAACTGTCATAATAAATTATACTCCACTAAATATCAAAAGACTTTGTGCTTCAAAGATGAAATTATAACAGTGAAGAAAAATATAAAAGCTGAAATTATTGTCTGAAAGAAATTTAATTTTTAGTAAATAAATACACAGAATATATAAATTATGGAATTATTTTAAAAGATTAATAACCGATTTTAAAATGCACTATACACATGAGTACTAAACTTTAGTGAATAAGTGCATTAAATGATGTTTCATAACTAATAACATTAGTTATCAGAAGAAAGCAAATTAAAAAACAAAATGCTAAAATAATTTATACTCAGAAAATGAACCTAATATAATAGCGGTCAGGAAATGTACTAAAGAGAATATGGAATATTTAAAATCACATACACCTAACAAAAAAACAAAAAAACCAGTGTGG